CAATAATAGACAAAAAAGATCACATTAACGTTAAAGTTCGTACGTACGTACGTAAGTACTCATTAACGTTCATACTCCTGTGACAGTTAATTTTTATTGCATATCGATAAACAATTTTAATAGGATAAGAACAAAGACTTGATGAGAATGATTCCCGCCAAAAAAGTAAACAAATAAAATCGCAGGCGCAGTACTATAAAAAAAAGCTTTATGGGAAAAAATTTTTAATTCAAGTAATTTGGCTTTTTTTTTTTTTAATAATAATAATAATTAATCATTGGTAATAATCATTGGTAATCATTGGGTCAGGTGAAAAACAAGTGTATTATTTTTTACTAATTTTATAAGTTTTAGAATTGAATTCGCGTTCAATCACAAGTTTTAATTTGAAGTCATATGTAATCTAATGCTGTAATGTGTAAGAAAAAAAGAAGATTGACTATTTTTGTAATGTTTATTTGTGGAGTAAGATATAATAGAATTTTTTTTTTGTGTTTGGCAAATCTTGCAGAAGATAAGTAAAGTAGTTTTTACTTTTGTTGGAAATTATAATAAGGGGACAACAATCTTGATTTTTAGTTTGATTGTAATTGTATATTCATAGCATTTGGGAGTCATATCATTTGGTAGTATTTGGTAACTTTTGACACAGTAACTCACAGTAACGTTTGGTAATTCAGGTTTGGAATTGCTAACGTGCAGGCTAACCGAAAAGATAATGTACATATTTTTATCAAAGGGTATACAGACAAAGAAAAAACAATTAAGACTTTATATGCTATAATTAGACCTTTTATTAGAATATTTATCTACAAAAACACGAATTACATGTACGTGAATTAAAACCATTTTGTGTGAATTAAGTGAATTAAAGTGAATTAAAGTGAATTAAGTGAATTAAAAGTTATATATGTAAGTATGAAAATCTTTGATTCTTAAACACTTTTTTTCTTGCATCATAAACCGTTTTTTGGAGGCTAATAATACGTATTAGGTCATGTGAATAAAGGATCTATAGATATTATCGTTGATATTTTCGATATAATCTTTTGATATGATCGATATTATCAATTATTACCGATATATAAAATTAAAGTATCTAATACTGCAATAGGTACAATAGGTACATAACTAATACAGTAATGGTAAATAAAAGTAGTTAATAGGTAATACATACAGTAATATACCATTAATAATAAAGATTTACAAACTATGTCATTGCATATCAAATACTTTTTTTTGTATAAGGACTGCGGATGTGCATTGTTAGGAATAAGCGAGGATTTCTATTTTTTCATGTAAGATCAGCAACTATAAATAAACACAATAGCAAATTATCATTAACCGTCATTAATTGACATTTACCGTTACCGTTACGTTAACAAGAATTTCTACGTAAAATCACGTTTTCTCCTATCTGCTATGTCCTATTGTTGTAGATGAAACACAGACATTTATATCTATTTTTTTTTTTCACGGCGTACTTTTTGCAGAATTCACATGTGGGAAAAAATATTATATATGAAGCCCAAAAGAGCCAAAGGTTTTTTTTAAACTTCAACAAAATTTAATTTGATTAAAGAAGTTAACGAGTAAACAAACCCCGATATATATCGATAAATTTACACACACATATATATATATACATATATATACATTTATATTATATAATATTATCAAAAAATTTCTTATATAAGTTTCTAAGAATCCCTTTTTATCATGTCATATTTGACTCAACAAAAAGCGAGCAAAGACCTTTTATTCTTACAAAACTTTGTTTTTTACATATCATTTTGTTGTTTCATTATACTTTCTGTTTTTTGTTTTTGCGCAACTTGTACCCAAACCACCATAATGTTCACCACCGATAGAAGTCGTGACTTTGGTAAATGGTGTATAATGCTTGGCCGTGGCATCTTGGCTCTTATTGATACAAACTATCGTTCTTCAAAATTATCGTAAGTACTCATGATTATTTTCTTAAACTTTCTTGAGTTTTTATTTTTGGAAAATTTGAAAATTTATATTTCTTTGAAAAATTTTTAGTGCACCAAAAAAAAAATACACACCGAAAATGCCAAATTTAAAAAAATCTGGCTTAACTTTACTCGATTTATCAAATCGTCTTGTTAATAAATTCACCGGACCTCCCACAATTTCAGAGTTTTGTGAGAAAAGTTCAAAGAACATGACTGAAAATTGTTATCGTCCACGAGTTCCGTCTGCACTCAATCCAAACCGACAATCTGAACGACAAAGCGTAACCGGATTTCCAAGTAAAAGACATTATCATTCAGCCTCTACAAAACCAAAACGTAGTATGTCCATTAAGTTGATAAACTCTACGGCTGCCAATCGAGTCATTATTAAACAAAAATCAAAGTTTTCTTCATTCACGATAAATCGAAATGAAAATCGAACTGATGAAACAATGGATAATTCTGAATGTATTGCCATCAAAAATTTCACCATTGATGAAATAAATGATAAAATAAATGATAAAAACGTAAAGCTTTATGAAGAACGACCAACAATTCATCAACCAAAACGTCGTCTTAATAATAACAAATCCCCTTCTACATCTTTACTATTGGCTAGAAAATATTTAAAAAAAATGTTGGATATTAGAACCAACAGAAATAATATTATATAATATCTATCATATGAAATTTATTTTAAAAAAAAATTTTTTTATTTCGATTAATGATTTATCCATTTTTTCGTGTATATTACTCTTTCTCTCTCCACAGCACAGTTTTTCTTTAGCACTGTACATAATCATTGTTTCTTTATTTTTACTTTGTTTTTTTGGTTCTGACTCGGTTGTCTTGAAAATGACTAAGATAATGACTAAGATAATACGTAAGAATAAGCGAAAATTTTTAATAGAATTAAAATGTTATCCTTGTACAAATAATAAAAAAAAATATTA